TTTAATCTTCGTAACAATTAACGGAATATTTTGGTCTACGGTTTAATTACTTTGAATGTTGCGTTTCATTTGGACACATTTTTGTCTGGGAATCCTAACCTTATTTTAATTCAATCACTGATTTTGATTTTTAAGTAATACTTATTGTAGATATATGCATGTTTCCATGAGAGTACTTGCTTTTCATATGTAAAGATATATAACTGGTGCCTCATCCTTTGTTTTAAGGCCGACAACAAATCTGTTTGAATTGGTCATTTCTGGCAAATTCCATATAGCTGTTTGCTGTTTACATAATGTTATCGTCAGAATTATCTTATTCCTCGCAACTAAAGAACACTAGCTTGCAAACCAATATGTTGTACATCATAGCTGCTCTCGATCTCGCCTATTCTTTCGGTAACGACAGCTACCAGTCGTTGGACTTTTGACGTCACCTTTTGGCTGATTATTACAGTGAAGTAGAAGGACAGGTGAACATCGTACACTTTACACTTCAATATCTGTGTTTGGGCTGACCAGGTTTGATGCAATTTTCAAACTTTTTTTTATTTTGGATCATTAAAAAAAATATTATATTGGTTTTTTTTTTAATTTTTACTCGGGGTACACTTTAATAACTTTATATAGTCTACAGGAATTCCTGGTAAAGATAAAGAATATTTCCCATACTTTCGAACAACGTAAGCAAATAGAGGTGTCTATTCTATTTATTCGTATTTTCAATTTTCATAATTTAAATGACACGATTTATAAACACATTGCAGTTTTGAAGCATGTTTCTACACCTACACTTTTTGTAGTACTAATGGGTAGATACATGACTTGATATAATCTTGGACATTTACGAGTAATTGTATAGGTAAGAGTCGTGTTCAATTATATTTCAGACCAGATGGAAGTGTTAATTCCAGCTCAATTTTAGTATCATGTACCAGATTCATATTTTGTTTCAATGTCTCCTCTAGGATTCGAACCCGGTACTTATTGTTTTCTAGTCTGACAGTCAACCGGTTGAGCTAATGAGAAGCTCACTCTAACCGAGCGGTATATTGCTGTTAGTATTTACCACAATCACAATTTAGGATTTGAACCCGGGACCTATTGTTTACTGTCTAATGCTCAAATAATAAATAAAAATAGTTATACACATTGATTATCAACAAAGATATAACATGGCAACTAAGAAAAATAACAATAAAAAATATCAACCAATATTTGTTAGGAGTTGAGAGTATCACCTAACTAGCCTCGGCTAATAGGGGTCCGGCAAGGGATCGAAGAGTCACTAGCTCAAATCAATCTTATCTGAATAAATACAGATTAGACTTGATCATTCTGAACTATGTCGTTAGGTACCTGCAATCCTGTTAAGTTTCCATATCTGGAATACGTCTTCTCTTGGCATTATAGATTTTCGGAGCTTTTCAATAAATACTCTGTCTTCTCTGTTTTACTGCTCAGTATCGCGCATCACTGTTGCAACAGTAAATGTCACGTGACTTGGAACAATGGAGGTCACATGACATCGACGAGGTATTAGATTACCTCCCCTGACGACATTAAAAATGTCGTGAAGAATGTCAGTCTTGCCTAGAAACGTTGCGGTACTCCAAAAACTCTGAGACTGTTAAGGAATGGCACCTCTGATAGACATCGGATGAAGATGGGACCTAATACGTTAGTGGAAAAAAAACCTACATGCATTGATATGTATATATTTTCCAGACAACTTGTGTTTCAGGATTAAGATGATTACATGATCGGACTATAGCGCAAACAATTATAGTATATAGATGATTTACCATTGTATGGAAGGTCTTCAGAGAAAAACTAACTATGTTTCATTTTCAGTAACACATTTCATGATTTAATATCAGAATACAGTGTAAAGAAACTGGCAACAAGTACATAGTCTCCATCTTCACCAAAGACATAGAAGCCATAAGTAAAACCCAGACCCAGACCACAGATTCAAAAGCTATATTTGGTGGTTTTAAAATCTATTTTGGGTGAGAAAAAAAACTGTGAATAACTCTATGATTTATTTTGAACTTGGTCGTTTTCCATATTATATACATCGAAGGATTTCTATCATTAAATACTGGATACAACTACTGAAGACTGACAATTGTATGTTGCGGACATGTTATAATGAATTATTAGAACTTAATACAAAAAAAAACCTAATTGTCAGTCAAATTTGATTTTTCATTTGAAACATTTATGTTCATCGGGTTTCGGTGATGTATGGATGGCACAGCATGTGCCTAATGAAAAATATTTTTTGTTACTATATAAACAACGGATAAATGATATGTATAATCAAGACCTGAGAAATAGTTTTGAAAATTCTTCGAAGTGTATTATATATAAACTTATTGTTGACCAGTTTGTTACACAGGTCTATCTCAACAAACCATTGACTTTACAAATGAAACGTATCCTATCTAAGTACAGGTTAAATGCACACTTGTTGAATGTTGAAACTGGTACCATGGTATTCCCAGATCTCAAAGACTATGTACTCTATGTGATGGTAATGAGGTTGAAGAGGTGACTCATTTTGTATCATTATGTCCAACTCTTTTAGAATTCAGAGACCATCGGTATACAAAATGACAGAACTGTTTTCTCGCAATAATGTAAAATCCCTAAGGAATTTTGGAAGATATTTAATTCATGCTACTGCTAAAAGAAAATTACTTTTAAACAGTTAACCTATTGTTTCTAATATTGTTGTTTACAAATACAGCATGCTGGTGAAAAGCTATGAAAAAGCTTTCAATTTGATATGGATATTCTACGTGTAATAGTACATTAGTAATCTCTTTGGCACCATTGATTGAAAAAACCTAGAAAACAGATTTCCGCGGTTTCAAACCTGAGGTTTTCAGAAATTTTCATGATGACGTCATAATATTATGACGTAGATAGTGGTATTGTCTTTTATTATTGTTCGAATAATGTTGGCTCTGTTCTCCACCATCTTAGTTCAAATATGATATAATATGTATGTATATTGTAATCCTATATGCTGTTGCATACGGAATAAAATAAAATTTAACTAAAATTGTATAATATTTACCAGACTAAAGCAAATAGGCGGGACCAGCTTTGGCGGTCGTCTGACTCGGCGCCGAGAGAGACAAGATCCCGCGGTCTACTATTGTATAATCAAAGACTGAACTGAAGATTTATGGCAAATCGTGGCCAAAACTTTGTAATGTGATGCGAAGATATAGATTTACTTTGACTGTAGAAAACGTAGAAAACTCAAACTTATATACAAAATATATAACAAGTTGACTTGGGATTATTTGAACGACCTCCTCCTACATACTGTAGCAGTAACTAGTACCTCCCTAGAAATCACAATATATAGTTCCTCGATTTCCGTTTTCTCCTCAAACCTCTACTCTCTACTTCCCACTCGTCGTAACTAGAACACGTGAGATCTACTTGTAAAAAAGGCAATATGAATATTTTTTCAAAAAGTTAAGTAGGACATATTTTTGCTTCTGAAATGAAATCTTTACACACCTGTATAGAATTTAAGTGACACTATAAACCCTGTTACATGATATACCTGTTATGCATTTTCTACATTCACATGCACTATAAGAACAAAGGATTTCGTCACATTTGTATGTAGGTATGATCAGATTGCATTACCTAAGCATATAACCAGCAACTGAATAATAAATGAATTATTTAAGTTGGCAATGGATCACCAGACAAGAAAAAAGAATGTTTTACCAGTACAATTTCACCTTACCCCGAGACAGGTAACCAAATATAGTAAGGTCAAATGTTATCAGGCCGCCGCAGTTTGAGTATTTCAATATTTCTTAAGTGCAAGAAATGAAAAACCTCACTTAGGGATTGACCTGCACCACGTAAAAGAGACCCATTGGGCCTGTATTGCTCACCTGGCTTTGTGTGCTGAAATGGCTTCGTCCAAACCCAAGAAAAATAAATTTCTTAAACACACAGAACACAATAGAGCTATTTCACCTATTGGATCTCATTCCTCTGTCCACGGCTCACCCAAACAATTCATGCTTCATTCTAAGCTGGGACATAAGCTTACCGGTCCTTTGGACCAGGTGAGCTAAAAAGAAGCCTGCTCGTATGATGACTGATATGACGAATATCAGCCATATCGCTTTCCCACTTCTTGCTCAAAACCATTGCCTTTTCGCATCTAATGACATTACCAACACTAAAATATCGAGCAATTTCTAACTTGTAACTTTTGTAAAAGATCAGGGAAAACACATTCCTGTCGAGTGCCACGACCTCGCCTTTTCATCTCATATTGCCGCCATCTTTGCTACTAACATACACACGTTACTTCAAAAATAATTCATAACAGGCATACAATAATGTTGATGTACCGTCCATATCCCTTGAGTTATAAAATAACACTGGCATATATGGAATGGCCTGGTATCATACTAACACAGGCGTCGTGACCGTGCATACAACCACGTGACTGCTGACTAAGGCGACAATTCGATAAATTCGAAAAGGCAATCACGGAAACATCAGGAAGATAAAGCAAGTATTGGCAAATATTTATTAATAATTATCATCAACTTAAACCCGACATTTCTGACACCATTAAAGTAAACCGTTAGGAGTTAACATGATTTGGCACATGGCTCATAATGGAAACCAGTCGCAACACATCACCGCTGTAACTGACCAGGTCAGGAGAAGCCCAGTAATATAGCGAACGTCTATTACATCCAGATCAAATAACCTGTTACGATGTCAGGTTTACTAAGATAACTGTCACTGGTTAGAAAGTAGAGTAAAATTCTGTCTTTAACTAGAAGCAGGAGGCTGGCCCACACGTATACCTTTCGGCAGCCATATGCGTGAAGAGTGAGTTTGCTCGGTGACGGGGCCGACTTCTACCCGGCACGGGCTAGTTCACCGTTGACGCTTATCTAGTATATACACCAGGTGAACCACCCGCGCCACATATCAATATGGCTCTGCGAACGACATCAAAAACCGCCCTTATAGTGTATGCCCACCAGGAACCGAAATCCTTTAATGCAGCACTGAAGGATGCGGCTGTGAATTCCCTGGAAAAAGCTGGATATTCTGTTGAGGTTTCCGATCTCTACGCTCAAGGCTTCGACCCTCGAGCCACCGTAGATGACTTCACAGGTATGTGCAGTTTTATCAAACTTTTAAACGAAAATGTTGTTAGCATAACCTATTAGATTATCTGTCTCGTCTACAGTTTGATGCTCAACTAAACTTGAACTTCATTGAACATTTAATAAAAAATACGAATATGATAATCTATTAGCTTATTGTTGAACTGACTATGTCAGTCAGTTTATAAAAAAAATCAAAATCTAGTTTTGAAAAGATGGTATGAAAGTATTGCTTATGGTAGTTAAACTCAGTGATATAAAATGATGATTCATGTACAAAAATACCTATTTGGTTCAATAACAAAATCAAAGTATCAAATGAAGTATTTTTGTATGAGAATTAGTACAACAGTGGTGTGAGTAGTACAACAGTGGTGTGAGTAGTACAACAATGGTGTGAGGATCATTTTTTCTATCCTTTATAGATTTAAAATCTGATACAAGATGTAAATCTCTTCAATACCAGGGCATTATATTTGTTATCTCGCAAGGTCAACAAAAATTTTAAAAGTAAGAGAGTGAGAGATAGTGCTTGTACTCTGAAGTAATCCTTCGTAAACCACCAAGTATTGAAATATTTCCTGGGTAGTAAAAAGGTATTTAGGATATCTACAAAATACTTAGTGAAAACATTTTTAAAATACAGGATAGAAGAAGTAAGACATGGAATAATATAGATAAAGATAGTATCCCTGAAATCTAAACTATATTGGTTTCAGTTTAGTATTGACCATCACATTCTTACAACCAATTCAGTTCTGTATAAAATTGACCTAGTGAATGAGCCATGCTGTAAACGGTGTCCAGCTACCACTAAACATGCTGTCTAGGATTGTCTCATGGTACAGATAATTTTACACAATTTTGAAAATTATTTAATCAATTCAACATCCACTTCCATTAAATAAAGTGAAATTCCTTTTTGGAATACTATCCGATGAAAATAGCACGGATGACACAATACGATAATCGTTATGGTGAAATATTACATTTACTAAACAAAATAATTGAAAATAACGTACATATAAAAGTAATGATATAAAACCCTGAAACACATAACAACAGTATGAAATGGAGAATTTTCAAAATCAATGGGACAAATTTTCACCTGTCATGGTAACACCCTGACGTCATACAACTTATATATATATATACACATATATGATCGACTTTCCTGTCACACAGAAATGTTAATCAGTGTTTCTTTTCTCTCAAGAAAACTGCTGTCGTTATGATATCATTAATAATAAGTTACAAACTTAGCCTAACATTAATTGACTTTACTACAGCACATACATTTGTCCTATATTACTACAGTACATTTTGATCTAGGAAACCGTATACAATATATACGTCCGAAATATGTGCATATAAATGTTGTGTGAGTCGTGCCTTGTAGAAGTGATTTAGTAGGTACTAGTAGGTGTATATGTGTGAGGGAAGGTGTGTATGTATATATATAAATGTGTGTGACACGTTTAAGTACCATGTCAATCGTCTGAAATAACAATGATATTCTTTCTATTCTTTTTTAATGGAAAATCAAAAAAATTATGCTTCTTAAGTGAAGCAGCGTGTTGTAAGAGGAGTGACCCCCAGAGCTCCCAACCATGGAATTTCACTGACCTTATGCTGGGACATTAAAGTAAATTTGTTTAAAGAAATATACTACTATACTACCTAAAGGAAGTATTCGCCTTATTCATGTCTTATCTTCTGCCGTTTGTGCCTATGTCCAAAATATACTGAGCCAACAAATATATTTTGAAATAGGTATTATATTTTGCCTCAATGTGTACATGTACATATAATTGTTTTCTATTTCTTGATATATTACAGATATAGATATAAGTGTTTATGTCAACAGTTAATTTTTTTATTCATAATAATGATAATTATTATGTTTTGTTTTTTTAGTATTTTTATTAATTTTTATTTGTTTTGATATCCATACAAAGTGTTTCTTAATAGATACTACTCAACTGAAGAATGTTTTATCTTATTAATCTTATCAAACGGATGTTTTCTCTGAAAGTTTTTGAATATTTTAAATTTGTCAAATAATGGTTTTATTAGGACATTTAAATCAACAAAGACTATTAATTCTATTACAGCCTGATAAGATATATGTATATATAGTGTCATTTATGTGATGGACCTACACAGGCATGTCTCCCCATGTATATGAGGTAGCCCACCGGTACCAGCCTCGTTTGTTAACACGCTCGTTCTCTATTTACCCAGCGAAATGACATAATTTCGGGAAACTTGTGACGGTCACTTTGCGTCTGAATAAACGGACAAATATTTCTCTTGACTTTGGTATATGATTCAGTGTAAAGCATGCCCTAAAACTGTCGCCAGACTTCATCAAACATGTTCAGTTGCCATATTTAAGTTATTTGGACTCGCATCTGACAGCGGGTACTTGTGAGTAGCCACTCAATATTGCTCGTGCTCTGGATCTTCAATGAATGGGTTAGCACACAGTGGTGGACGTTTTAATGTTGCTCTGATACAACTGATATCTAGAGTAGGAGCGATCATAACAGACTAATTATTATCATAATAGGATTTATCTAATACATTTAATATTTTCTATTTGTCCTACTGTAAGTTGGTTCAAACTGTATCATTTGTATCATTGTTAAATATTTTTTTGATAAGCATGGGAATGCGCATTTATGCATAATTATATCTTATTAATTTACTCAGCATTTTGATTACACACGTGCAAAACCTGCCCCCTCGGCCCCTGTATATGCATTCTTGAGTCTACAGAATTTTGTTCTGTGATTTGTTACATTCAATACCCCTCTGCTCTTATTATGACATTTTTAACAGCTTTTCAACACATATAAGGTCATTAGAGCCATCAACCGAGAAAACACACAGCGATCCTAAAAGGAAATAACATCAAACAAACTAAAAGGTTATAGACAAATGATAAAATCTTAAATTGGTATATTATCATAAGATATTAAAATAGTACGTCATAATCTATTATATAGACCAACATCTTTCAAAAAACTAATATTTTACTAATATCAACAGTTTCAAAAACGGTCTTTAGACTTGTAATGTTACGATAAAAAAGTTCTCGTGTTAGACAAATACAGTCCAATAAAAAATGTTTCGTACCTCTATGTGTCTGACGAATAAATAAAGATAAAAATACAGTGTAGTTCTATATCATCCTTGATTGCACAAAATGGATACATTCTCGTTATCTTAATTCCATATAATATGATTCGGTGGCAAGATATATGGGTTTTTTGTGACAAGATATCATCAGGCTCGGCAGGATATTTGTTTAAGGAGAAGATATATTATTGACGCATTCATGCGATAATGCATTGACTGAAGAATTTTGTTCCTGAGATCAATGTTACAACGTTTTTAAACATTTTTTACGAGTGTGCTCCCTTGTTCGGTTGTTGTTGTATATCATGAAAATGTCCGCTGTGACCCTGCTGTCGAAGAAACTGTACAAGATAGGCGCTATTGATTCGTTGGAATCAAGTTTCAACCTTTGTAAACATTCCTTATTAGCTTGGTATCTCGCCTCTGAATGGTATACCCTTGACATGTTCTCCAATTCAGGCTGTTAGAGGTTTTAAAAAGTAATTCAGTCGAACATTGTTATCTCGAAGACGTCGAAACTGAGGGGAAACTCCGACTTAAACTAGTATATGATTTAAAGGGACATCGAGACAAAAGAAACAGAAATGTTATTGGATAACTCTAAGCCAGTTCAGAATTACGAATTACATAACCTTAATTGCAAACATTGTCGCGACTGATTCAGGTGTGTGTATACGTTGTCATCAGTCAAAAATGTCTTTCATTTTTAAATTGCTAAAAAACGAGTTTTAACCAGTACTTCAATACCCTCAGGAATAAGGAAGATACACGACTTTCCTAACACCAACCTGAATGCATTGTTCTGAGTTTTGTATGAACGGTGGGTCTCCGTCCCGAGGGACAGGAGGGCGAAGTAAAATAGAGAAAAGTCTGTAAAATCCTTCTTCAGGACTGTTAGGATTCTGTTCCAATTTGGTCTGAAACATCCTAGGGTGAAGAGGTATTAAATGTTCGGTCCCGGCCCTCTGGTTTTTTAAAATAAAGATGACAGGATTCTATCCTTACCTAGTTTGAAAAAATGGTTGATTAACTGATTCTTGTATAAATAGTTTGGCTGACAAAATAAAGCACAGGGATGAGGATCATTGGAGAAATATAAAGAAATAGAATTAATTTTCCTTTTGTTTAGAGAAACAAAGTTCAGTCAAACTAAGTCAAGTGACCTATACAAGCAAGATGGAACTCTTTTTTTCTCCCATGTGCAGAATTTAAAAAAAAAATCACTGCATACGCAATTGGCCAAGAAGAAACACAACGATTCCATTTATGATTTGTCAAAAAGAAACTGTATTGATAATACACATTGTTACATGTACATCAGCTCCAGTGGAAACCACTACATTCACACGCACTACATATGCACTAAACACGCACTATACACGCAATTTCTTCACATGCGTGTATTGTCAAATTGTGCCATTGGGACACATAGCGAGCAACTCGGTTATACGTTTTTCTCAATAATCTGACAATGTATCACCAGACCAGGCCCTAGGATATCGAAACTTCAGAAAGATTCTCAACTGCCCCATTCTTAATTTTAAGTTGAGAATTGACCCAAAATTTGAGAATGGCCATGAGTATGCTTAACTATTTAAGAACATTCTCAAAGATGGCTAATTTGCACAGGTGAAGCCTGTTTCACATCAGCCGTGCGATTTTTTCGTCGTACGATTTCCGCCGCAAACACAATCGCTACCTATTCGCACCCGTCGCACATACTGCAAATTTGCAAAGCGATCTCCGTACGTTGTTCGCACGGTAAACTCACTAACCGTACGGTGTTCGCAGGTTGAGCGTACGAAAAAAAAAACAAAAACAAAGCGACGGGTTCGCACGGCTGTCATGCGGTTATCGCGACCA